CAAAAAAAATTTCACCTACAAAAAAATGTCAAATTTCAAATTTACACGGTCACATGATTTTTAACCTCTAATGCACGAAAATACGACATGTAATGAAAAAGCCTACTATATCACAGAAATGAAGAGGACGCGCGATGCTACACGTCAGTATCATCCGCTCACCTTTCCCGCAGTTGCGCATGAACCTTGTAAACCTCGGGAGGGCAGCAATCCAGGCTTCGAGACGGAAGGGCCACCTGCACCATCTCAAACCGTCGCGTTGTGGCGTGTTGCGACCGTACGGCATCATTGCCATTCCGTGAATGACCTCCCATCATACAGGATACCTACAGCGGATAGGCAGCCATCGTGATTACATGATTATTTCGCATCACAACAGTTTCAACCATACATGTCATATTTCCCAGACCTGATATACTATGTGATGAGCTTAATAAGATATAAAGTCAATTAACTTCACACTCACCACAGAAAACTATAATCTTTTAAGGATAATAATCAATCCCTTAATCAAAATAATCTTAGGGTCCTTAACTAAGAATAACTCTTAATAAAGACAAACGTACAAAACTTACGCAAACGCCCAAACATCTGATTTGCTGCTGAATCCTGCGTAACCTAAAACCTCCGGTGGTGGCCCATTTGATGGGAAAATTTTCGTACCACCGCGACACTGTTACCTCGTCATCACAAGACATACCTGCAACAATGACAATAATCATGACAAGTAAAAATTGTCTCATAGATAAGGCATCCGAAAAACATAGCCTACAACAGGTATCTATTAAATTGATAAATTAAGTATAAAATATTATAAATTATAAAATGACAATAACAAATACTCAATCAATAAATTAGCAGAAAATCTTTCAGAAATCTGCTAATCGACAATAAGTATATGGTGTGTGATGTACCACATAGGTGTGGCAATCAGATATATAAAATGGACTAACCGAACCATCAAATAGGCGCTCATCGACAAATGCGCTTAATGTCGATAAAAAGCGATTAATAACGACTGCGTTCAGACGGAGCTATAAAGGAGCAATCTCTGTAGATTCACCATCTAATTCCCAAACGCACGTGTTCAGCACGCTCGGAGCAGGCCTACCTCCGAAAGCCCGAAAATCCGCCGACCATTGATCGCATTGCTCATTGCGACGAGGCAGTTTCTTGCCGGCGGATCTTCGATAATGAACGTTCATGCATCGAGGGTACCACATCGGCGCTGCACACCTGCACGCACGAGGCGAGCAGCAGCGCCAACCTGGCTGACATCGTGACTCGTTCTACGCAGTATGTCACGCAGGCAACCTGTCGAGTCGAAAAGACACGGATGCGCAAAACGTGCAAATAATAATTCAACTTTGTAAATAATATAAATTGATAATGAAATTTGTGTGTGCAATATTAACTATGGACTAAATAGCAGGCACTAACCAATCCAGCAACATTAAAAAAGCATGGAGGAATTTAGTACTCGATCGTGGCCAGGCAGGGAAATAAGAGGAAACATCCTGCTAACAGTGTTTGAGGGGGGGGGGGGGGGCGTGGCATAACCATCTTCATGAAGTTTGTTACGATCCAGAGGCCGTTTGCTTGCTGGAGTACTCCATACAGCTGCACCAAGGTTAGGTGTGGAGTTGCCTAGAACAATAACAGGAATGACTGAAGCTCAAGAGATGGGAGCGAGACACTAAAAATAGCTTTGTATCAACATCACAAATTAAAAGCACAGAATAAACAAATGTCACGCTAACCCTTATGTCAAATTTCATGCAATCAACGTCTAAATACACAATACATCCAATTCAGTAAAACTAAACACTCAACGGCTAGTTAGACATCAACATAATAGATTCTCAATTCAAAATCAACGACAGAACAGATCAGAGAGTTACATTACGTCATCACTTTAGCTCAGTGATAATGCCTAAACATGATACAACAGACAGCAGTACTTCAACCGAAAACATCCGAGTCCTCAAACAAGTCTTACAAGGGCACACGCTGCTACGACAGGCGGTGCACTAGTTGCAACTCTAAACGTGCTGCAATTAATATTGATTAAATATTAAATATTTATTGAATTTATTATTAAGCTATAATATAAAGGCCAGCACAAAGCGCATCAAAGCTAATATTCTCCATACTAGACCGCAAATACTCGTGGCTAGCAATAATCAACTACTTATGACAAAATAAAGCTCTAGTCCCCCCATTTCACTGCGCGTTGCTTAAACCTCAACCAGAAAGCAGGTGAGAAAACTGGCCATTTCTGGCAACGGTAGGGGAGCAAGCCAACGCCGACTTGTTGCCAAACAATTTGCCTCGAAGTGGTTAGGGACGTCACACAATTTTTATCTTTGCTACACCCGTACCGCTGTACCCCACCGCTGCACGTTCTGTGGGAAAGCAACGCGAAACTGTCAACAACATCGGAGAATTGAACAACATCTGAGGTATTTTCAAATACGTTTATAAGACAACGTGCAGTGAAATGGAGAAGTAGAGTTATTTTCATAAGCTAGGTATTATAGTACACAAGATTTGCTATCTATACTGGAAAATAGCGTATGGAATGCGCATTGTAGCGCTTTAAACATTACTAATGCAGCACAGGTACGTCAATCACTTTGCTTCCTCGATAAAGTCTCTTCCATCATCGGTCTTCCTCAATCACTATGATTCGCCGACTCGATGCTGCCTCGGCAACAAGCCCCGCCGCACGTACCCTGCAATGAGCCATCATAGACAATTGCATAGTAATAATCGGGCGACGAACCGCAGTACTGTCTTCTTTGGCCTGTACGACTGTAATGGCGTTGCGTGCCGCGAGAGGAAATATGATCAAAGCCAATGTTAACAAACTAAAAACATAAACCTTAATACTTAATGCTGTAAAACCCCAATTTCACCCTCAATAAACCTGGCAACTCTTACTGCAGATTACAACAATGACATTCAGCACAGTGATTCAACTCACACCCAAACTGGCCACTGCTAAATTCGTCCCAGCAATGATGAGTCACTGGGGTCGATTTCCCACTTGTCATCAATGCAATTACCTAAAAGCAAAATATACAGGTAACTAAACAATGTCGAACTGATAAAACTTAATTCCATGATATACAGTCACAGACAAGTGATAAGAAAATAACACAGCAATACTAAATAGATAAGGATTTCGTAACAAATTAAGAGAATTTATTTATACGATGAATCTAATTCACCTGTCGCAAGAGTTAAGTTACCAGACTGGGCAGAGCTGACATTCAACATAGTCAGACTCACACACTTAGGGCAGTATGCTGTCTCAGTAGCAAAACTTCTACATACTGAACACTGTGAAACTAGAAGCTGAAAATACTTTTTCACTGCTTACTGCAAAGAGAAATCCAGCTACCAAAAATCGACCTGTAATCATTTGAGGGACTCCAGAAAATATCGTTTATAAGTCAGATGCCTGTTCTACAGACATGTTCACTGTGCATTACTGCCACTCAGTGAACCAAAAAAGCATGTCTTTGAGACAGAGTAAAAGAAGTGACACATATGTCTACTATAGCATGACGCTATCATATTCTAACGCAAATCAGTACGCATGACTTAGACCAGCAAGTTTGCGCACCAAAGCTCTAGATTTCACATAGGAGGTTGCGTCAAACCGCGTACCAAACCTGAAGATCAATAATTAACATAAGCATAAAAACTTCTCAATAACTTCTAACAACTAGGCTCGAGACATTGAAACATCAAACCAAGTTAATACTATCATAAGTCGAAATTGAAAAGAAAATGTCAGTGTGAACTATACCGTCAAGAAATATCGAACGGGAATTAATGTTGACATTGACATATTCCACACAAACAACTGCTACAAGGAAGTGACAACTGACATTGCTTACCACCACAGTTTGTGGCTTGTGATATTGGATGAGCCTCAGAATCGTGAGTAACATGGTTTTTCCGAACAAGTAATACTGTCCATTCGGCTGCTTTGATATGATAAATTGCCTCACTAGCAGATCGGACTAAAAAAACACGAAGCAGGTTTACTAACAAGCAAGGCATTCTAATGACAGATGAACATCAAATAACGTCAGTATACATCTACATTTTTAAATATTTATACCCAATTAAAAAATTAAAATGTATTTATAAAATAGCATGGCACACAGAAAACGTTTGCAATGTCGATTAGGCAATTAAGGGCACATCATGAAACTTATGGGAATGTAAAAATAACTTAAGCCTTGAAGGCATGATTGAATTCGATCAGGTACTAAATTCCTTGGGAAACGCCTGAATAATATATAATATAATATATAAAATAAAGTATATATATATATAGTTCATGGTATGTGCATAGAAGCAGAGCAAACTTAGCATGCCACTCAAATTGTTGAGCAGCACCCCTGAACAGGACATGTGTAGAGGCTGGGTCTCGAAGAATTCTTCACGCAAAGCAGCCCTTGCCTTTCGCGTCGGCTCGTAGTAGCTCTCTGCCCTCTGCCTGGTCATGTCTCTCTCATACACCACCTACAAACATAGGCACA